CTGGTGTGGCGTAGTGACGTCTAAGTGTCAGTGAGTGTTTGGTGAAAAAAAATCGTGAGTACTTTCAATGTTATTCTGGAAGAATCTTATAAAGGCAGGGCAAGTAGATTTGGACTTGTGATAATTTTAAGAAAAAGTTGTTTGGACGGGGAGTCTATGTCTAAATTCGTATAGAAATTGAACTTAAAAAGACTTGTAAAAATTTCAATGCAAATTGAGTTTTGTGTTCGGAAAAAGTGCGAGAAGATACAATTTAATGGACTTTAAGGTTAGGATAATATTATATTCTTCCACTTTTTATTTGTGCTGTAGTATTAAATTCTATTGTTTGTAACTTGTGTTGTGTCTACATAATATTGTATTTACAAAATGGATTCGTTAATGGATATCCAAGATGATGTTAAAAGCAAAATTGATAAGGCTATTATTAATTATAAAAAATGCCCGAAAGATCGACTCACTCTATCGTATATTGAAACACGTTTAGAAAATTTAGAACAACAATGGCAACTTTTTCATAATACACATGTTAAAATAATAAGTGAAGTTAAAAAGTCAGATTTATATAGCTCCAAATATCATAAAGATTGTGTTTATGACGAGGTAGAGGAATTATATGTGCAATTTAAAAGTGCTCTGAAGGAGCTTATTAGATTAAATAAATGTGTACCTAGTAATGAAAATGATAGTGGACCGGGCCTTAGTAGTAGTTGTAAAGAAGAAAATAACTTTCGTTTGCCGGAGATTAAAATACCAATGTTTTCTGGAAAATATCAGGAGTGGCTAACCTTTAGGGACTTATTTTTGGGATTAATTCATAATAATAATAAATTGAATGATGCCAGGAAGAAGAATTTGCTAATGAATTAGATAAATTAAAAAGCAATAGGTTAGAGAAAAATAACGCGAAACTCAATTCATTAAATATATTTTTAGATCCGAAGGGAATAATTAGAGTAGGGGGTAGGCTTGAGATGTCTCAATTAAAGTACGAAAGAGTACATCCCATCCTAATACCTAAGGAGTCAGTTCTCACTAAGCTATTAATAGCTGACGCTCATGAGAAAACAATGCACGGTGGTCCTCAATTAATGATTACCTATTTACGGTCCAAATACTGGATTATAGGTATAAAAACGTTGGCAAAAAGATATGTGGGACGCTGTGTGAGGTGTATACGATACACAGCCAAGGTCAGAACACAACTTATGGGGCAGTTACCATCCTCTCGGGTAACACCAGCTAAACCTTTTCTCCGGAGCGGAGTGGATTACGCTGGCCCTATAAGTATTAGAGTGTCCAAGGGTCGTGGTACCAGGTCGTATAAAGGCTATATAGCTTTGTTTGTATGCATGGTCACACGTGCGGTGCATTTGGAAGCCGTTAGCGATTTAAGCACAAAGGGTTTTTTGGCGGCTTTCAAGCGCTTTGTGGCTAGACGGGGTCGATGTGCAGAACTACATAGTGACAATGGGACAAATTTTGTAGGCGCCGCGCGCGAGTTACTTCATTTATTCAATGAAGAAAGGTCAGCATGTAATCCCGAATTAGCAGATGAACTAGTGAACAATGGTACGGAATGGCATTTTATCCCCCCTCAGTCACCCAATTTTGGAGGACTTTGGGAAGCCGGGGTAAGATCCACGAAACATCACCTTAAGCGAGTGATTGGCAATTCAACGCTGACCTTTGAAGAGATTTCAACGGTTTTGGCTCAAATTGAAGCGTGCCTCAATTCGAGACCATTGTCATATATTGAAGATCAGGACAAATTGACCATTTTGACGCCAGGTCATTTTCTAGTAGGGGAGCCACTCATAGTACCGCCCGATTTAAACTATGAAAAATCAAATGTTAGCAGTTTAAGGTGATGGCATCTGCTTCAAAAAATGATGCAGGAGTTTTGGCGAAGATGGTCGCATGACTACCTTCACCAATTTTTACAAAGACACAAATGGCAAAACAAAACGCCTGAACCATCTGTAGGTGATGTAGTTCTAGTCAAGGAGGACAATATGCCTCCTGGCAGGTGGTTGTTAGGCAGAGTGGAAGTTAAGCATCAGGGTTCAGATGGGTTAACTCGTGTAGTCACAATAAGGACAAAAATGACCACGATAAAAAGACCTACATCAAAGGTCTGTGTGTTACCTGTGGCAGATAAATAAATTCAAGACTAATTTAAGTAATTAAGGATTAGAAATATTTTATTTAAGTTAGTGTAATTGGTTTTTAAATATCTGTATTATGTTTAAGAAGTAAATAGTTTTATTTTTTTTGGGCTGTAATAATTATTTTATTTTTTTGGGCTGAAATAAACATGTATATCAGATGAAGGACATTTGCCATAATGTCCTTGGTGGGCGGAATGTTTATGTAATAAAAGGTCAACGGAATCATAGTGCGATTTAATATGTTGTACGTTAGCTCGATAGATGGCGTTGGGATCGAGATAGATCGCGCTATGGTTTCGTTACCGGCGATAATATAGGTGTCGAATGATTTAATTGTTTTGGTGAGCAGCAAGCATTGTACATTACTTTATTATACGCGCTTAATAAGTAAGTCAGTGTATCAATTATCCACCCTCTCCCGAGTCGACCTTCGTTCAATGACATTACTTACAGAATTCGGAAGACTTTAAGGAGCCCTTTGAAAGTTGTCCATATAGACAGGTTGGCGAGGTATTACGGCAGCAACGATGCTCGGGACGAGCAAATCTAAGAGGAGGGCAGTGTGACGGAAAAGTGGTTCAAACTCTTTGACATCATGACGTCAATGGATGGTTGTCAAACGTTGCCTAGAGATTGTAAATTTCGTCGTGAATTGTCAACACGAGTTGGTGTAATCGGTAAGGCGTGTGGATTACACCGCAGAGACCCCGAGTTCGAGTCCCGCCGTAAACATGAAGTTTTTTAGTTGATGGAAGTTTTGTCGAACTTTCTGGAATTATTTGTGTGAAAGAAATGAAAAATTAAAGAGCGAGAAGGAGAATAAATAAAAATGAATAACGAAATTATTGGAAGGTTCTGGAGGCATGACGATCAAAAAGAATAACGAAATTGAATGTTCCAGAACCTGACCGGGGGTATATAAGCGGAACTGCGGCTCACCGCTGGCAGTTGAGTTCTAAGTCCCAAGCGATTCGGAAGAAAAGGAAGAAGTGAAAAAGAAGAAAAGTGAGTGAAATAGTGAAGTGCAGTGAAATAGTGAAGTGCAGTGAGTTAAGTGAAAGTCAGCGTGAACTGTGAGCGGCAAACGGAAGTTTGTGTCAGTCGCCCGGACTCTGCTGGAGAGGAACGCCGAAAACTTAACTCGGTGGACACTGTCATTTAAGTGCAATAGAAAGTCTGAAAACCGGTATTAGTGTTTAATTTTATCCAATCCCGTAACCCAAGCCCGCATAGTCAGGAACGTGACGTCAGGCACGTAACAGTACTGCGAGCGATGCAGGGTATACTAGGCAGTAGTGTGCTACACGCGATGTACTAGGGCGGCAGAGCGCAGACACAGCTTACCGTTGTGGAAGTATACGTACTGCGAGCGATGCAGGGTATACTAGGCAGTAGTGTGCTACACGCGATGTACTAGGGCGGCAGAGCGCAGACACAGCTTACCGTTGTGGAAGTATACGTACTGCGAGCGATGCAGGGTATACTAGGCAGTAGTGTGCTACACGCGATGTACTAGGGCGGCAGAGCGCAGACACAGCTTACCGTTGTGGAAGTATACGTACTGCGAGCGATGCAGGGTATACTAGGCAGTAGTGTGCTACACGCGATGTACTAGGGCGGCAGAGCGCAGACACAGCTTACCGTTGTGGAAGTATACGTACTGCGAGCGATGCAGGGTATACTAGGCAGTAGTGTGCTACACGCGATGTACTAGGGCGGCAGAGCGCAGACACAGCTTACCGTTGTGGAAGTATACGTACTGCGAGCGATGCAGGGTATACTAGGCAGTAGTGTGCTACACGCGATGTACTAGGGCGGCAGAGCGCAGACACAGCTTACCGTTGTGGAAGTATACGTACTGCGAGCGATGCAGGGTATACTAGGCAGTAGTGTGCTACACGCGATGTACTAGGGCGGCAGAGCGCAGACACAGCTTACCGTTGTGGAAGTATACGTACTGCGAGCGATGCAGGGTATACTAGGCAGTAGTGTGCTACACGCGATGTACTAGGGCGGCAGAGCGCAGACACAGCTTACCGTTGTGGAAGTATACGTACTGCGAGCGATGCAGGGTATACTAGGCAGTAGTGTGCTACACGCGATGTACTAGGGCGGCAGAGCGCAGACACAGCTTACCGTTGTGGAAGTATACGTACTGCGAGCGATGCAGGGTATACTAGGCAGTAGTGTGCTACACGCGATGTACTAGGGCGGCAGAGCGCAGACACAGCTTACCGTTGTGGAAGTATACGTACTGCGAGCGATGCAGGGTATACTAGGCAGTAGTGTGCTACACGCGATGTACTAGGGCGGCAGAGCGCAGACACAGCTTACCGTTGTGGAAGTATACGTACTGCGAGCGATGCAGGGTATACTAGGCAGTAGTGTGCTACACGCGATGTACTAGGGCGGCAGAGCGCAGACACAGCTTACCGTTGTGGAAGTATACGTACTGCGAGCGATGCAGGGTATACTAGGCAGTAGTGTGCTACACGCGATGTACTAGGGCGGCAGAGCGCAGACACAGCTTACCGTTGTGGAAGTATACGTACTGCGAGCGATGCAGGGTATACTAGGCAGTAGTGTGCTACACGCGATGTACTAGGGCGGCAGAGCGCAGACACAGCTTACCGTTGTGGAAGTATACGTACTGCGAGCGATGCAGGGTATACTAGGCAGTAGTGTGCTACACGCGATGTACTAGGGCGGCAGAGCGCAGACACAGCTTACCGTTGTGGAAGTATACGTACTGCGAGCGATGCAGGGTATACTAGGCAGTAGTGTGCTAGACGCGATGTACTAGGGCGGCAGAGCGCAGACACAGCTTACCGTTGTGGAAGTATACAGTGAGCGTGTTCAGGTAGTACTCGATGCGGGCGCGGGTGGGGAACGGCTTGTTACGGAAGTCGCGTAGACAGCCCGACAGGAGCTGCTGGGATCCGTCACTGCAAGCATAAGAATACATTTATATTATTCAAAGGATAAACATTAATAATGTAGGTATGATCGGCAAGGCTCATATACCTCAGTATTGACAGTAGATTCAACCATGAAGACACCAAAACACTTGGATTTTGGATCTCGCAACGACCTTGGCTCGAACGAAGTAATACGAAGGCCTCATAGAAAACCGTCGTGAACCAGCGGCAGTGTTGTGTTTCGCCGTGTGACTGAAGTTAGCGGAGGCCCAATTCTTCCCTAGAACCCCTCATCCCCATAAGACCGACAAAGCACTTCCAATTCTATTGTTGCGGGTGTGTATGGGCGACGCCGATTGCTTACCATCAGGAAACGATATTAAAAAAATACATCTTTAGACCTTACTAAGTTTTAAACTAGCTTCAATAAAAATTGTAACCTAACCAGTAGATAAAAGAGTCCAGAATAGCTCCTCACCTCTTATGGTCGAAGACCTTGGTGCCATCATTGAGCACGGCCATGATGTACGGGTTGTTGTGTTTGTTGTCGTTGTCGAAGGAATCGAAGATGACGGCCAGACCGTTCCACCGGTCCGAGGAACCGAACACCTCGCCCGTGTACTCGCCGCGCTGCGTTGTATACCAGAACGCCTGGCGAGAAAAACAAAAGCATATTTTGTTAAAAATTTTCATTACCTAGCTGGCTTTTTAAACAGATATTACTTTTTACTGAATTATCATATTATAATATAATAATATATAGATGTCAAATCCAACTATTTTATAATAAATTGTAAATTATGTTTTTATAGCATTGTCAAATTCTGCCACAACTTTCCAAAATCGCTGTAGTTCCTGTGCACCAGGATCTATAGTAGATTACCATCATCATCATCACCATTATCAGCTGGAACACGTCGAACTATAGTCGTCACTCGCATCCATTCGCTTTTCTGACCCGTTGGCCGTCTCTCCTTCCTACAGTAGATATAACCATGAAAACACCGAAACGCTGAAGTGCGGCACCTCCCAGGAACATAAACAACTACCTATCTTGAATCAACCCAGACTATATCTATAGAGAATATTAAACGATTAATCATTCTTGTTAGTGTAAAGACCGTGTGAGACTTGCCGCGCTTTTTGACTACCAGTTATCTGCGTTCTGACAGTTTGAGTACTTGCGCGACCCAACCAAATGTTCTTTAGATCAGTATTGTTCGTCGGACAACTCAACAGCACTAGCTATACTGGTTGCAAACTGACACTTGCGGGCCTGTCTTCAGAACGGGTCCACTCAAACTGGTGTGGTTCTTTCCTCAAAAGACCACTACAGAATGAACTTGCACGGTTCTCTCACATTATGTTATTTTAACATTGTCTGGACTTGAAAAGAGACTGACCTCTGAGTTTGTTTCGGCATTTCTTCTCAGAGTAGTCAGATAGGAAATGGCGGCATCATCTAGTTTTTTACATATAAATTGACGTGTAAAAGTGCCGTTTTATGGCCTATTTGCAAAAATAAATTCATTGTTTCATCCACTTTTATAAAGAAGACACTCACCAGCCCATCAGCTCCTATCCGCCCTCTTCCAGTGACCTTGAACATGATGTCAATCTCCCACCAGTCAAAGTTGAGGGGCTGCTTTGACCAGATTGCTCCCTTCTGGCTACGGAGCGACGGCGCCAGGCGGACGCTCTCTCCTGAAGCTATGGCGTCTGAAAACGTATAATACAAGATATTAGGAGAGGTAATTTTGTTCATTTTGAGGAACAAGCGTGGGTATTGGTAACATTCAGAGACATTTGGAAGCCAAGAGACGCGTAAATAAAAACCGACTTAATGTGGGTGATACCAAGGCCTCTGAGAAAGAGGCGTAAAGCAACGTTTGCGGTAAGTGCAGGGCAATACCGAATTATTGCTAATCTCAAATGAAATCACCTTGCTGGCGAGCAAGGACTCTCGTTTGTTTTTTTTTTCTAAATATGTGTGGGAGAGCCAAGCTTCTGCACTAATGGCCGGCTCGACAGAAGTGATACCACGGCCTTACAGAAAACCGGCGTGAAACAACCACCGCGTTGTGATTCGCCGTGTGAGTGAGGTTACCGGAAGCCCAAACCTTCCCCCTCCCCCATCCCTTCCCAATCCTTAGTTATTTATTTTATACTTCATGCACAATTTGACATGTACACTAATATCCGACACCTTTATCCCTAGAAGGCCGGCAACGACTTGTTACTCCTTTGGGCGTGGGTGTCCATGGGCGACGTCCATTGCTTACCATCAGATTATCCGTCTCGTTTGCCGACCAATACTGTTATCGTCATTTTCAATTAATTTTGTATGTCATGTAATTGTTTGAAATCCAACTATCGTACTAGTCTTATCCGACTATCTTAATAATATTATAAATTTGAATGTGTGTGAAAATGTGCGGATGTATGTTTGTCTTTAACGCAAAAACGGCTGGACTGATTTAGTTGAAATTAGGTGATGACCTGTATTAACACATACATACATAAGCTGTGTTAATCTCAGCTATACACGTTTTTATCAACAACCAATGCGGGCAAAGCCGCGGAAGCTAGATTTAAATAATACTTTACAACTTTTGCATATGTTTACAATTAATAATTAAATTAAGTTATACGGTGGACTAAACAAGCACCTAACTAGCACGTAATGCTTCGTCATAAAATTCTGCAATGAAGTACAACAAATGAAAGACACGCCGTATTTGCATTTTATATTATTTCTCCAATATGATTAACGCTTACTCAGAACAATATGTATTGTGTGGCATTTTCAAGTATTTATTTAAAACTGATATTTGGCCTTTTTTGAAGGTCAGGCTTTTGCTTCCTTGTCAATTTACGTGGCCAACGGCTTGCCACGATTTTGTACATCCTCTCGCCGTCAAGCGGCGTCACAAACCTGTCTGGACAGGTTCAGAGTGGGGTCCAGACCCGAGCATACGGCGCGTAGCGTCTTAACTTAACTTCTCCCGCCCAAGGTAAGGCGAGAGACAGTGTCGGAGTGTCATACTCTTACCCTGGCTAAAAAACCCCCCGTTCCTTCTCCTGCTCTGGGCCGAGGCCGCAGGTACCGCGGACATTATAATGCGGCTGAATAAGAAATAGCTTTAGCTTTTACCTCCAGTCTATTATACTCTACCTAAAGTAGCTTACCCTATTGTAGTTACCTACCCACCAACGTAACCTAGCCTTTTACAAAAGAACCTTATTTAAAATAAGAATTATTGAATTATGTTCAGCCGTTCTTGAGATTCGCGCTTATCAACACATTTACCGATTTATTTTTATAGTTTTATAGAGGAGATAAATCCGTAACGTCTTCCCGTTGACCTAGTGACTTCGTCCGAATCGGTCAGATCGACCGGAGTGATACCTCGGCCTCAAAACCAGTGTTTTACCGTGTGAGTGAGGTTACTGGAGGCTCTATCCTTCCCCTTTCCTAATCCCTACCCAGTCCCTAAACCTCCAAAACCCAAATCCCCAAAAGGTCGGCAATGCACTCGTAACTCTTCCGTTATTGCGGGTGTTCATGGGCGGCGCTGATTGCTTACCATCAGGTAATCCGTCTGCTCCTTTGCCGACCTATCACATAAAAAACAAGCAAACGAGCTAGCGAACCACCTGATGGTAAGCAATCGGCGCCACCAATAAAAAATGCCTACCTTTTGGGAATAAAGGATTTGAGGAAAGGATTTTTTTAAAAGAGTAACGATGAAGTTACTTGCTCGTTCTTCTCCATTCGAATCTACAATTTGGAACGAGCACCTAGCTTCACTGACGAACAGACTGACAGACTACTATTCTATTTTGACGTTTCAAAGGTACTTATTTATGGTTTAGTTGGAATAAATGATTTTGATTTGAGGATGGAGATCGCCAGACAAGCGACCACGGAACCAACAAAATATTTTAATCTACATCAAAAACCTGTAATAGTCTAGATATTTTTAGTTTTAATACAACCTTGACCTAACGAGAAACAGGTTTTATTTTCCCGGCTAGGACATTATCGTTCGGTACAGTACGATAGATATTTTACAAATAATCAATATTTTATCTGTGACACATTGGAGCTGGATTTAACGATTGATAGCGGGTGATAGACTGGGCTGGTTCTTCAATCCTGTTATCTGAAGGTATAAGCAGAAAGAGAGGTAGACGAACCATGTGATTGGGCCATACACAGGACACAATTGAAGCATCCCATATCCCCTATTTAAAAATTTATCGATCAAAATTCAAGACACCACTGACATACGGTGAAGGAAAACATCGTGAGGAAACCTGGACTTGTAATTTCTAATTGTAAGTTTGGAATCGCCAACCCGCATTGAGTAGGCGTGGTGATTGATGCTCAAATCTTCTCCGTATGAGAAGAGGCCTTTGCTCAGCAGTGGGCACTTATAGGCTGATGACGATGATACCTACTTCGTACGTTTTAGAGTTATAATTATAACTACATAGATATAAAACAAAGTCGCTTTGTCTGTCCATATATCCTTATGTATGCTTAAATCTTTAAAACTACGCAACGGATTTCGATGCGGTTTTTAACAGATACAGTGATTGAAGAGGAATGTTTATACAGGGTTACAGGAAAAGTCGTGCTAGATCCGTTAAGGGCGTAGAGTACTCATCATTTCTGACTTATTTCACCATGAAACACCCTACCCTAAACTTAACCCTTTTCGAGATATTCGACTTTTAATCTTTTTATTGAAAATTGACGATTTTTAGGCTACTAAATTTAATTTTGTTTATTTTGTGTGACTTATTATTATTATTATCCCATTTCTAAATGTGTAATAAGATGCTTTAGGACCTCAATCATAAAAATAGTGAATAAGTTAATTCAATACGCCGTAGTAAAAAAGAGAAAGTTAAGAAATAAAAAAAAAAAGAGAAAGTTTATTTTTCTCTGAGGGATATCTAAAAAAAATTTTATGGCACTTGATCGGCAGATAAGTTATAAAATATCTACGTTTCATCAGCTATCCAACAAGGTATAACAATCTAGGGTTTCATTTAAATGCATTGAAAAAACTTAGTTTCATAGGCGATAGTGGAGGAAAAAATTAATACTTAGCAAAAAAAAAGAAAATTTAAATTAATGCAAAGTATTTATTAAATAAGGTTTTTACACAACTTTTTGTTACAATTCGTGTTCAACATGGCCGCCTCTGTTTCTAATACACTGTCGCATTCTTCGACGGAGACCAGTCTTCACTACTCCAGTGGTCAATGTTGTCCTCATTTGATTGGCTGCATCCACAATCCTTTCTTTTAATTCTTCCACAGACGAAACTGGATTTGACTCGCTGTAGACAAGGCTTTTCATGCGCCCCCACACATGAAAATCCATGGGGGTTAGGTCCGGACTTCTAGCTGGCCATGGCAACGGCCCACCTCGTCCTATCCATTTGTTTGGATAATTTGTGTCCAGCCAGTCTCTGACACTTCTCCTAAAATGTGCAGGGCAGCCATCATGTTGGAACCACATGTCCCTGATCAAGTTGAGTGGCAGATCATCAAGCAAATCACTCAAGTCTCCTCTCAAAAAATTTTCGTAACTTTCCCCATTTAGATTGTCCGAGAGAAAGTAAGGTCCAATCAAATGATTGGAGCGTAGCGTATATAGCGTAAATGTGTGGATACCCATCCACACATTTACGCTAAATCTTCGTTGGGAACCCTTCACTCTTTTCTTATTGGGATTCCTAAGTTCTTTTGGAGCCCAGTAATGCGCGTTGTGATAATTACTTATGCCATCTTTATCAAATTTGGATTCATCTGTCCACAAGATATTTCTTAAAAAATCTGGGTCTTCTACGTCAGCATTTAGCATAAATCTGCAGAAGTCCAACCTTCTCGCGGGGTCTCCTTCTTCAATAGTGTGTACCGGCGTGTAATGGTACGGGTATAGGCCAGCAGTATGCACTGTAAACCATACTCTCCATTGCGAAAGTCCCAGATCACGGGCAACAATATTAGTAGAAGTAGTCGGATCCGCTCGAAAGCGCTGCACTATCTCATTGTCCTGTTCGTCGTCGTCATTAATTCGTGGTCTGCCCATGTCTGTATTTCGTCTCAAAACAGAGCCAGTTTCTCGAAGTCTCCGATAAACTCTATCAAAAACAGCCACATCCGGCACACGACGACCGGGGAATCGAGCTATGTATTCGTTGCGAGCTTGCGCAGATACACAACCGCAGTATCCGTAACAAATAAGCATATCAGCATATCCCTCAGGTGTGTACGACGCCATCTTCAACACTTCCGTAGCACAAGTACAAATCGAAGTCCGGTTAACAAGCACAGTAGTCACAAATCAAAAAAAAACAGTCCAGAATCACAGCCAAGTCGAAATAAAGAGCAAAAACGATATCACATCTACTATGTACGAAGCACAAAAGCAGACTAACAAACAAAACAATATCCCGTGATATTCCTACAATATTTTTTCTTTCATTCGCACCTACATAAACCGTCGCTTGTCTCACTCGCTCACTTGTCTCACTCGCACGGTGCGTCATAACTTAAGGACAATAGGCGCGGTACCGTTAGGACTGCTACCTGGAGCGTCCCAAATCCTTTTTTTACACGAATTACAATACAAATCCTAGATTGTTATACCTTGTTGGATAGCTGATGAAACGTAGATATTTTATAACTTATCTGCCGAT